AGTCAGTCAGATGAGCTCTTCCTGGAACTGGGCCTCGGCTTACTCCTTCTACCAAGAGTTGTGAGGATTAAATGAGATAATATGTATGAAGTGCTTAGCACAATTCCCAGGACGGCATGCTCAATATATAGAAACTTTCTAAAAGACTTATTTATTTATTTTTATTTGTTTTTTTTGGCTGCATCGGGTCTTAGTTGTGGTGCTCGGGCTTCTATAGTTCTGGCATGTGGGCTTAGTTGCCCCTTGGCATGTGGGATCTTAGTTCCCCGACCAGGGATTGAACCGTCATCCCCTGCATTGCAAGAAAGATTCTTAACCACTGGACCACCTGAAAGACTTCTGAATGCAAAGGGGTTTTTTTGTTGTTTTTCATACCTGGATGGGCTTCAGATTCTCTATAATCTCCTTGATAATGCATGCAAAATCATGTGTGTGCAAACCACTTGTTCCTGGGCCCACCTTCTGGACACAGCTGGCCACTCCACAGGGGATGATGTGGCTCTAAGCCCCCCAGACCAGCCCTAGCTGCTCAGGCTGCCTGTTGGTAGGGTTGGAATCGTTCTCTTCATTTTTTGCCAAAGAATCTTTGGGCTAGAATCCTATAGGTGGGATGGCTGGGTCAGAGGGATCACGCATATGTAACTTTGCTAGATATTCTCCTCCACAGAGGGTGTACCCCTTGCATTCCCACAGCCTCATCAGCAGATTGTGGCCAAATTTTGAGATTTGTGCCCATCTGCTAAACAAGAAATGGTATTTCAGGCGTATTTTTATTTCATCATATTTATGAGCAAGGTTGAGCATCTTTTGACATGCTTAAAAGGCCATTTGCATTTCTTTGTGTGTCTTTATTTTTAGAAGCTATATATTGGAATATTAACCATTGTCATACAACATTACGTAACACAACAATACATATTGTATTTTCCCAGTTTGTAATTTGTGTTTTTACTTTGCTAATGGTGGCTTTCTTTTTCTATGTAAGAGGGTTTTTTTTGTTTTAATTTTTTATGTAGTCAAATTTATCAATCTTTCCCCTAACTATACGTGGATTCTGAAATCAGGAAAGGTTTTCTCACTTCCAGCTTTACAAGAATTTCCTCATTTTCCATTTTCTTCTAGTTCTTAGATGGTTTCCTTCTTCCAGTGACTCCAGCACCACTTACTGAGAGGTCCCCCCCGCCACCGCCCCAATTTCCTTATGCAGTTGGGCTTGTTACTGGATTTTTTAATTTTTTTCATTGCTCTGTCTGTGTATTCATGGGTTAGTTTTCCCCACCCCCAAATCAAACTGTTCATTTTCAGATTTTTTCTAGTTATTCTGGCTTGTTCTTCAAAAAGATCTTTATAATAAGAATAGTGTGTAATGACGGCAAATGTCCATTAAATAATGTTAAGGGAAATAGCAAGCAACAGAACCACACAGTATATACACGTGCCTCTTTTTCCTTATAAAAAATTATTGGAAGGGAAAAGAGCCAGGAGAGCCATGTTTGAGTGGTCATCTCTCGGTAGTATGGCTATGGGTAGCATTACCTTGTTACTGATGCAAACCTTGGTGGAAAAAACCTGCCAACTGCCACATGGCTGCCTCTTCCTCCTTCCTCCTCACCTCCTCCCTGTGCCACTCTGGAGATCTTGTCACCCTCTGGGCCAAGGCATCTCTTTGTAAGGGAGGGAGCGCATTACAGCAGGGAGGAGCCTGGGGGCACGGCCTCTGCCAGCTCGGGGGTTGGGGGGGCCGGCAAGGTGCTGGCGCATCTGATTCTCTACCCCACTGTCCTGCTCTCCGTTACAAGCTCCACCCCCGTGTAGGGGTGTTTCCCTACTTCCCGGGAGACAGGTTCCTAAGCGGTAAAGGGAACAACAAGGGCCAATAGAACTTTCTTTGATGGTGGAATTTCTGTATCTGTGCTGTCCAACAGGGTAGCCACTAGCACATGTGACTATTCAGTACTTCAAATGTGGCTGGTGTGACTGAGGAACTGAGTTTTTTGTTTTTTGTTTTTCTGCGGTACGCGGACCACACTGCCGTGGCCTCTCAGCTGCGGAGCACAGGCTCCGGACGCGCAGGCTCAGCGGCCATGTCTCACAGGCCCAGCCGCTCCGCGGCACGTGGGATCCTCCCGGACCGGGGCACGAACCCGTGTCCCCTGCATCGGCAGGCGGACTCTCAACCACTGCGCCACCAGCGAAGCCCCTGAGTTATTTTTATTTACTTTAAAAAGCCACTCTACTGGCCAATTCCCAATCCAGCCACTCCCCTTCCAACCTAGAACTGGAAGGAAAGATCCTGCCTGTGTAAGTGGACTGAGAGGCCAAGCAGGCCGGTGAGGGCTGGAGAGGGGAGACGGCAGCTCCGCGGGAGGGCCGAGCACACCAGCAGCCCCGCCCCTGCCCCAGTGGCCAGCACACAGGCAGCCAGCCCAGCATCACAATACTGCAGACCGCAGGCGAGCAGCAGACTGGCAGCCGGGCAGCCTGGCAGGGGGCGGTCCCTCCAGGGGCAGGTCTCTTTGTCTGCAGACCTACTTACAGCAACCCAGGCAGCAGAGGACCATTTCTTGGGAATGGAAAAGCACCCAGCAACTGAGCGGCCTCAGGCTGGAGACCCATGGGAGGAAGCAGGGCTGACGAGGGGATGGGGGAGCCTTTCAGCTCCAGGACCCAGACGCAGCCACCTGGAGATGGAGTACTCCGGGCACAGAGCAGCTGCTCCTCTTGGTGATTTGGTTTCCCTACTTCTTCTGCCTTCAGGACTACTCCTGAGTGGCCCTCCTTTCTGCCTGCCCCTGAGGCTGGAGGGCGAAGGCAGAGCGAGCATGAGTGAGGGCCAGCCACTGGGGCCCAGCTTCCTGCTCTCAAAGGGCCCAGGGCTGCCTGCCCCCAAATGGACTTTGTGTTGAGTAAATGCTACAGGAAAGGGGACATATACCCCCAAAGACCCTAAGGTCAGGCAGGGGGGCAGTGGGGTCACAAGGCTTTGAACTCCTGAGTCTTCTCAGAGTCAATAGAGTCCAGCTCCTTGAATTTATTGGTTAGCTGCTTTGTGCCTGCCCTGGGCTCTGGTGAGAAATCCTTTGAGTCTAGTTGGCAGCAAGAGAAAAGTTACTTCTCATTTTCTAGGGGAGAGAAACAGAGCCCAGCAGTGCTTTGTGTGTTTCTGGCAAGGGTTGTGAAAATACCACTTCATTTTAGGGGACTCTTTAAGATAAAAATGGATGCATCTCCAAGTATGTGGATATGGCTCCACCTGTCCATCACAGGGGCTCCCATGCCTGGTTTCCTCCCAGAGTTACCTGGGGAGCAGCAGCCTGTTCCAAATGCAGATCACCAGGCCCCCTGCAGGAGGGGAGGAACCTCTGCCCTCATCTGGGCACTCTGCGCTTTATGCTGACCCCACGCTGGCGGCTTCCTCAGGCTCCCAGGTTGGGAGAGACAAGACAATCCCCAGAGCGAAGGCCTCCCAGCAGTGAACTTGCTCTTGGGGAACTAGGCTGTTATCCTGAGGCCGTGACAGGCTGAGGATAGGAACTGCCCTCCCCTCTGTAGCAGTGCTTTTGCTGCAATGGTGGGGCTTTTCCTAGAACACAAGCACACAAGGAAGATAAGGCAATAATCTGGACCGACCCAGACATTTAAAGCCAAAGGACACACGGGAGTCTCACCAGCCAAGAGGAAAGCCCACCAATGCAGACCTTGGAGGCTCATGTGAGGAGGGGTCAAGGGAAGTGTCACCAGGAGGCAGAGGGGAGGGTGGGATTGCCTCTCCACAGCCACCTTTGTGGCCATACACACCTTCTAGGAACTCTTAAAAACACATTCTCTAACCCCAACCCCAGATCTCTAAATTCTTAGATCTGGAGTCCAATGGAATTTTTAATAAGCTCCCTCCTTCCCCCATTAGTGTAAGAACTATAGTTCTCTCTGCCCTGTGAGCAAAGCGTGGAAGCCAGAGAGAACGCTGGCCTCCTCCCCTGGAGGGTCCCACTAGAGCAAAACGGAGGCAGCAGGCCTGTGGGAGTAGTGGAGAGCAGATGGCTCAGTATCCTGAGTGGCTTGAGGGACCCCCACAGCCTGTCCACCAGTGGCTGTGATGAAATCTCAAGAATAAAATAAGAAGCATCACTGCGCTCCTCCTTCCCAAACATGCTCAGAGGGAACAGGGAATAGCACAGTGTATTTTTTCACGGATATTCTTCCATGACTAGGATCTACTCCATATAGTAAACAGTTGTAGAAATACATATTTCCCCTCTGGGACTCCAAAATTTTGAATGGGAAAAAAAATGCAATCTATCCACAAGTATCTTTGCTGAAATAGGCCCCATGCAGAAAAGGTACCTTCTCCCCTCGGAGGGCAGTGCAGCTCTGCCAACACGCAGCTAAGCAAGCTGTCACCAGCCTAGGGGGCTGCTCAACCCTCCCAACTGGCGTGTACACCCACCTGCAAACCCTCATGCATCAGATGCACCTGCAAATGCAACTTCTTGTCCCTTCAGGCCATCGACCCAAATTACAATCTGACAGGGTTGCAGTGACTGCTCACGGCTGCCCTGTGACAGTCCCACTTTGTGTGGGTGCAGGTGGGGTAGAGGAGTATGATGACACAGACAAGAGGAAGCCCACAGTGGACGTCAACCATTGCTTTATTAAGGCTCGGAGTGGTTTGCCAGTCAGAGGGGCTGAGTCATTTACTCCACAGATCCTTGCCATTCTCCACTTTTGGGTGACACTGAAGGCGGAGGCTCTCTCTGAGATCCCGAGCCACATTCACACCCACCTTGTAGGCTGAGGGGTGTGTGCAGACGACCTGGGGGGCCTCAGAGGGTGGGGCTGGCTCTAGCAGGCCCTGGGCTCTGGCAGGGGGTGCTGGCAGGGAGGCACAGGAGGGCAGGGACATCTCCCCCATCCCTCCCAGCTCAAACTATGGCTTTGTTATCCTATTGCCACTTGAGCAGGTGTGGAGAGCCCCTTCCCTGACCCCTCACTCCGCAGGCCCATGTGCTATGCTTTGGGAGGAGACAAAGGGAAAGCCCACGAGAAAGCAGAGGCCCCCCTGTGCCTGGGACCTGGCCAGACTTCAGGAGCTTTGACCCCCCACTCGTTCCTCCTCAGCTCCTCCCAGCGATGGGTCTTCTCAGGTTGAGGCCAGTCACTCAGAAGTGAACCCGCAGAACGTCCTGGCTGGCAAATGGCCGCTGGCAGGCTATGCATGTCATGGGCAGGGAGCGCTGCTTCTCACCCAGGCAGGGCCGGCACAGGAGATGGCCACAGGGAAGCTGGTACACGGGCTCCTTTTTGAAGTAGGGAGAGAACACTCTTTTGCAGGATGTGCATTCGGGGCCCAGGATGCTCCCAGGCTGCTCTGGTGAATCAGGGAAGAAAACAGGCCAGGGTTAGGAAAAGCTGCCCCCAGTCCAGGCTCCATTCTGGAGGTGGGCATGTACCTGGAGTAGGACAAGAAGCTTCCCTACCCTGCATCGCTTCAGCAGCCTGGCTTCCTCCCTCCCTAGGCCGCCTCTGACTGATCTGGGAGGAGAGGATGCCAGGGAGGCTGAGAATCTGGGGAGCCTCCTCTCCATAATCAAATCTCGGTGCTCCAATGAATGCTCAAGAAAAGCTGGCTTCTGAGGGCTGCTGGGCAGCACTGGGCCCTTCCTGCTGCTCTCCCAGCAAGATGGACTTTCCCCTGGATAGGCTGCCAAGGTCAGAGAAAGGCACAAGCTCGCCCTAACAACCTTGATAAACTGCAAGAAAGGTGAGATGTGACAAGAAGAAAAAGCAAAAAATGGTCTGAGGTACCCAGGTTGGGCAGGTCAAGGGGGAACGGAGGTCACCAGAGGGGCAGGGTTGAGGTCTGTCTGTAGCAGACCTGCCTGCTGAGCCTGGCACCTGAGTCTCTTTAGCCCTGTAGCCCAGCAGCCCCCCTCCTGACCCATCAATCCCTTTCTTGTGCTGCAGGCTCTCTCCTTCATGCTTCCCACAGGGTCTCCTGAATGAGGGCCACAGCGGGCAGGTCTTGCCACCCCTCCTCCCCAAGCTATACCTGCTGCCCTTCTCTTGTGGCCCTTGCCTAGGGAAGCTGCTCTTTCTCCCCCAGTCCACACCCATCTGGAGAGGGCAAGGATGACCTTTTGGGTGAAGAGCCATAAGAATGAAAGGGAGCCAGCCATGCATGAGTGAAAGGGACAGCAAGTACAAAGAGTTGCTGGTCCATTAAAGAAACAGAAAAGACAAAGGTGTGATGTGTGAAAAGAGTGGCAGAGGAGGGTGGAGCAGGGCTGGAACATGCAGGACCTCACAGGCAGCAATACATATTTTATTCCAAGTTCAGCAGATTCCCTGGAAGGTTTCTAAAAAGTGGAGTATCATAATCTGGCTTACATAAAAAGATCCCTCTCTGAGCTTCCCTGGTGGCGCAGTGGTTGAGAGTCCGCCTGCCGATGCAGGGGACACGGGTTCGTGCCCTGGTCCAGGAAGATCCCACGTACCGCGGAACGGCTGGGCCCGTGAGCCATGGCCACTGAGCCTGTGCATCCGGAGCCTGTGCTCCGCAACGGGAGAGGTCACAACAGTGAGAGGCCTGTGTACCGCAAATAAAAAAAAAAGATCCCTCTGGCTCCTATGAGGAGGATGGGCAAGGCAAGGGTGACTGTGGAGGAGCAGCAGAGGCTGCTACAGGAATCTGGGGGAGCAGTGCAGGAGCTGGGGCCAGGGTAGCAGCAAGAGTAATGGAGCAGAGAGGACACCCCTGAGATCTATTTTGGAGCAGTGTAAACAAGACTTGATGATGAATAGAATGTCAGGAATGTTGACGGAAACCAAGGATGGCCTCCATGTCATAGGCTTGACCACAGGGTAGAAGATGCTTGCTCTTTACCAGTGACTGGATGATGGGGGGCTATGGGGGAAAACCTTTGGAGGCGCCTGCAGTTATGAGTTAGAAATTCACCTAAGATATCCATGAGCTTCCCACATAGAGGCACCAAGAAGCTGTAAGGGAGGTCAGGGTCTGAGTTCCAAGGAGAGGAAGGAGCTACAGGTGAATATGGGTAGTCACAGGCCAAGTGGGCTCTCACCTGAGTGACACAGAGTATAGAGAAGAGGGTCTAAGACAAGAGTCTGGAAGAGAAAGAAGAATCAGCAATGGAAATTGAAGAGAGACTCTTGAAAATGGGTAGAAAAAGAGCATAACATCCGGAAGGCCAAGACAGGTGTTTCAGAAAGGACAGGCTGGTTAGCCACAATAGACGCTGCTGAGAGGGTAAGTGTCCATCGAATTTGGGGTCATGGAAATTGCTGGTCACCTGGACAAGACAGGTTCTGGGAGTGATTAGGATGGAAACATAATCAGAGAGACAGGGAGGAGGGGACAAGGGCAGAAAAGGTAAGATGGCCTGGGATCCAGGCAATAAGAGAACAGACTAACTTTGGATAGGCAGCAGGAAGCAAGTGTATACCTTATCATTAGCCCCACTAGATTTCATCTTGTAAAAAATGCTCCAGATTCTCTCACTTTGTATCCTAACCGATTCTATCATCCATTGTGGTCCCAGGTTCATTTTAGGCAACACTTAGCTCAGTAAGCTATCACTGTTCTAAGATACTGGTGAAAATGTTAATAGGAAGGGATGAAGATGACATACTCAACTTGAAACCACCCTCCACATTTACATAAAGTACCCCAGATGTCAGATGAGAGACAGACTACATAAGAAAAATAAGCAAAAAGGGAGAAACAAACAAAAGTCCTCAGGACAGAGTAATTAACATTAGATCTTACCAAAAAACACCAATCCCCAACGCCACAGAATTACTAAGAATTGACTAAAGAAAGACTTTCTTGTGAGGAGTTAAACTTCATAGGCAGCCCTTGAACTCACCCTGGAAAAGTAAAGGCCTGGGTGTTGGAGCTAAGGAGCTTGGGCATAGAGGTTCACAGAGCCCCAGAGGCATGGCCCAGCACCATGTTCAAGGGCTCTGAGGAGATAGACAGGGCCGCTCTTACCCGAGCTGGAGCCTGGCCTCCAGGAAGTACTGCTCCCTCTTGTGCTGAGGTGCTGGAGCTGTCCCCTGGTCAGCCGAGCTGTGAAGGAGGGCATGGAGCCAAGGGTTGACGTCAAGGCAATTTCCAAGCTTTGCGACAGCTTTTGCTCATGGGATACTGGACCTGTTGAGAGATGCACAGACCACAATATCCAGAGAGGTTTGGCAAAAGCAAAGACCAAAACACAAAGTCCTCTGAGAACCACAAATGGTACTTCTAACTTCAAACAGACACAAACATAAAGAAGGTCCTCCCTAATGTCTACTAATAGACTGTGATGACAGGATACCAGGAGTTAAAGCCCTGGGGTCCCTGGCAGTTCTTAACCATCCCACACTGCTTTCAGGATTCCTGGGCTCTGCGCTAGCTTTTCTCCTCCTGTACAAATTGCTGGGCAGGCCTGGGCCACCTCCTGGCTCACCTGTAGAACTGTACCCTACTTTCTGAAGGCCTCCCTGCCTGCCAAGGAAATGACTGGGGCAAGTAAACGCCCAGTTTTGTACCCCTGCTCCCTGCCCCCATTCCCTCCCCAACAGCCTTAGTCTGCTCTTTCCCCATCTCCTCCCTGCTAGGGCCCCCTCAACTCTGCAGGGCCACTGGCCTGCACTCCCTTGGTGTTCGTGTCCTCTCGCTTCCTAGGTAAAGCAAAGCAGTTATTATCGAATGGAACAATGAAGACCTCACTCTGCCCACTCCACTATCTATAGGGCCTTCTCTGGATATGGGCTAAGGGTGAAGATAACAGGAGATGGGGACCGCTGCTGAAGAAAGGACCTAGAGATCTGCCTGATAGCAGGGCTCCCCAAAGTGGCACCATAAAAGTACCCCAACGTGGGGAGTGGAATATTTGGTCTACAGTATGTAGCACATAGGATATCAGCTTGAGGCCCTGAAGGAGCACTGGTCAGCGTGGTCCTGTGTCACCAACAAATCTGTCAAGGCCAACACCACTGGAGACCTCCACAAACATCAAGGCCTAAGTACCTTTCTCCTCATCTTGCCCCACTGCACCTCAGATGCTTCCAGGAGTTTCTGGGGGTCTTGTTAACTAAAATTTGCACTCAAAGCCAGAGAAGATACATACGTAACCGTTAAGTGTGCTATTTGCATAAGCCTTTTAGACTAAGAGAGGATCTTTAAAGAATGATACAGGTGGATGGAACTAGAGTCTGTCATACAGAGTGAAGTAAGTCAGAAAGAGAAAAACAAATACCGTATGCTAACGCATATATATGAAATCTAAAAAAAACAGTACTCATGAACCTAGTGGCAGGACAGGAATAAAGATGCAGACATAGAGAACAGACTTGAGGACACGGGAGGGAAGAGGAAGCTGGGACGAAGTGAGACAGTAGCATTGACATATATACACTACCAAATGTAAAATGAATGGCTAGTGGGAAGCTGCAGCATAGCACAGGGAGATCAACTCACTGGTCTGTGACGACCTAGAGGGGTGGGATAGGGAGGGTGGGAGGGAGGTTCAAGAGGGAGGGGATATGGGGATATACGTATACACATAGCTGATTCACTTTGTTATACAGCGGAAACTAACACAACATTGTAAAGCAATTATACTCCAATAAAGATGTTAAAAAAAAAAGAATGACAGAATCTAAACAGACTAGTTTTCAGAATCTAAACAGACTAGAGCTACCTCCAAAAGCACTGACAATCACAGGGGAATTCTACCAAACATGTAAAGAGTAAATGAGGGACTTCCCTGGTGGTGCAGTTGTTAAGACTCCACGCTCCCAATGCAGGGGGCCCGGGTCTGATCCCTGGTCAGGGAACTAGATCCCACATGCCGCAACTAAAAAGAAAAAAAGATCCCGCACACAGCAACTAAAAAAAAAGAAGATCCCGCATGCCGCAACGAAGATCTCGCACTCAGCAACAAAGATCCGGCATGCCGCAACTAAGACCCGGCATAGACAGATAGATAGATAGATAGATAGATAGATAGACAGACAGACAGATGGGAAGGAAGGAAGGGAGGAAGGGAGGGAGGGAGGGAGGAAGGGAGGGAAGGAGGGAGGGAGGAAGGAAAGAAGGAAGGAAGGAAGGAAGGAAGGAAGGAAGGAAGGAAGGAAAGAAGGAAGGAAGGAAGAGTAAATGATTCTAATACTACTAAATTGTTCCAGAGTTTAGAAAAGGAAAAAGGCTAATTCTTCTTATGGAGCAAATCATTGATACCAAAACCTGACAGAAGATGATGTGTACTTGTACACAAACACACACACACACACACACACACACACACAAAACTGCAGTCCAATCTCATTAATGAAGGCAAAAATCCTAAATAAAAACACTAGCAAACAGAATTAAGCAGTACATAAAAGCAGCATGACCAAATGGAGTTTCCTGCAGGAATATAACAGTGGTTCAATATTAAGAAGGCTATTAATGTACTTTACTGTATTAAAAGATCTAAGGATGAAAAATCACAATATCATCTCTACTGATATTGAAAAGGCATTAGACAAAATCCAACCACCAATCTTGGGTAAATACACTGAATAAAATAGGAATCAATAGTGTGGGAGAGTGTCTGAAATGGCCCCCAATGAATCCCACCTGAACTTAGTAACTTGCTTCTTACAGAATACAATAAAAGTGATGGGATGTCACCCTGTGATTAGGTTCTACAAGACTGACTTCCACTTGTTTGCACATGCTGGTGTACACAGCTACCATGTTGTGTGCTGCCCCTGAGAGGCCCACATGGCAAGGAATTGAGGGCAGAATCCAGCCACCAGATAAAAGGGAAGTGAAGCTCCCAGTGCAACAATTCAGCAAGGAACTGAATTCTGCAACAATCACATGAGTGACCTTGGAAGTGAATCCTTCCCCAGTCAAGGCTTGAGATGGCTGCAGCCCTTCCAACACTTTGATAGCAGCCTTGTAAGACCCTAAAGCAGACAATCCAGCTAAGCAATGCCTAGATTCCTGACCAGAGAAGCTGTAAGATAATAAATGTGTGGTTCTTTAAGCCAGTAAGTTTTGGTGTAATTTAAGCCAGCAAAGCATAAAATAAAGGGCAAGTGCCAAGTGTCACCCAGGAGGAGTAGAGATGACGACAGGCTTGGACATAAGACGAGGGATTACCTGTTGAACAATCCATGAGCTCACTGGCAGCTTTCATTTTCTTAGCAGTGTGCTCTGAGGTAGTGGGTGAGACCAGAAGGCTTGTGGTAGAAAAACAGGAAGCATTTAAGCCAAGGCTACTGTCTGGGGCATGTTCGCCCTGCTCCATCTTCCTTTTCTGAGAGGGCAGAGCAATGGAAGAAGGGGTCACTGCCAATGCAGTCTGTGCTCTCCCAAGCAGGTGGCAGCCAGGGATGGAGTGCTGGAGCAGGAAATGGTCGATCCGGGCCTTCAAGGAGGGGTGAGGCAGGGGCTGGGAGTGTGGAGTAAAGGCTACTCCTGTGAAAGGGTCACTGGGCACTCGGCCCCATGCGGCTTCACTACGGTTACACTTCTCCAGCGTGCTCTGGTCAATGACCTTGCCTGAGGGCAGCAGCATGGGGTAAGGCATAATCTCCAGGGTGATGGGATCCAGGAACTCTTCAGGTACTTCCCGAATTACCTCAGCCAGCTCCAGTAGGCTGGAGGGGGCCTGCTGGCCCTCAGACTGGCCCCCAGGATCACAGTCACTCTCCATGGGTAAGGCCGGTGTCTGTAGAGACAAGTCCTGAGGGAGGCTCTCTGAGGCAACCAGCAAAACACTGTCTATCACCTCCTGAGAGCAGGTTTTGGCTGGCTGACCCCATACTTCCAACCGCTTGATACAAGGGATACCACTGCCTGTCACATGGGTGATACAAATCTTGAGATGGGCCACATGACTAAGAGAAAGAGCCCCTTTATTCCAGAGCTCCTGGGCCACAACGGCAGGGGAGGGAAGTGTGGCTTCCATCGGGCCAAAAGGTGGCCTGGCTTTGAAGCCCCTGTGGCTAAACACCACTTGGCTCTGGTCTTTCAACAAGACTTTGCCCACCAAAGTGAACGCTTCTTTGTCCGGAATGGATGGCTCATCTGGGCCTGGGGTCTGGCACTCGGGGGTATTCCAAGACACTCTGCTGGACAAGGCAGATGTATACATTTCCAGGCCAGTGACATTCTGGCCTCCCCCAGCTGTGAGGTCTATGTTAATCCTACAGATTTCCACATTGAAGGGAAAGGAAACTGTCACATAGACTGGTGGCTTAATGAAATACTCTGTCCTAAAACCATGACTTCTCTTTGTGAGGTCTTCAGAGATGAGATTTTCTACTTCATAACCATCAGCTGATATCTAGATTTAATGACAAAAATGAGACACATTGATTTGACGAGATCCAAATGAAGACAACTAGTTTTCAACAACTTGTCACTTCTAAGAAAACTCTTTAAAGAAAATCTGAAGTTCCTCATTTGAAATTTCCTCTATTACATCAAATTTTCCTGGGGTTTTCTTTTCTTTTCTTTTTTGGCAGGCATCCAAGATCAGGTCAAAGGCTGAGGGCCACCGTGTCCCCAAATACTGCCCATCCTTAAAAAATGAGCAATAAAACTCTGCCTAACCAACAAAAATCCCTTCAAAATAACATGTCTGTGAAAAGGGGGCAGATTTACAACTGTTTTTTGGATTGTTTTGGGGTTTGGGGGTTTTTTTTGCTTTTAAATTCAGAGGATGAAAATGTACAGATTTAGGCAAAAATAAAGATGTTCACTGAAGTTCTCAATTTTGTATTTGGACTCTACCAATTATAAGAGTTTCCCTAGGAAGGCATAACAAAGGAACTTCTTGTAAATCTATGAATGATGAAACTTGGAAAAAAAAGTTTGCACAAAGACAAGGACCACAAAGGACTATGGGAAGTTTAAAACAGTGAATGTGCTAGGGGTGGGATTGTGAGTAGCTTTTTCCTTTCTCCCTTTTAATGTTTCCAATACTTGTTATACCCAATGGAAATTTTAAGATATCCTTGTCTGAAGGAGTCAGCTTAACAATCTGGGAAGCTGAAATAATGTGCTGTGTGCAGAAATTCCAAATTGGGGAAGAAGTTCAATTCTCCCCTTGGAGTTTCCTTACTCCCTGCTCTGGACTGTGGAAGATATCCAGCTTTGTACAAAAGGGGAGGCAGCTTAATTCAAATAATAAAGAACAAGGAATCCATATAACAAATATAAGCCATTATTTCTAGCATGAGAAGTTAGCAAGAACAACAGCATGGCAGAGAGAGAATTTCTACCTTCACTTTGACCTTGAGTGAAATTTAGATTTATTGTCAAAGGGAAGAGAACCCTCCACAAAATGAGTCACAACTCAGCTTGTAATGGTGCTGTCTGACTCTAGAGGTGCAGTCTGACCCATGCTTCCCTAAATATCATCTGGTAGACTCTAAAACAATGAGGGTGAAAGCACATTAAGCCTGAATTAAGTCTACATACACAAGGCAGGAAATGGGGAAAAACATGAAAAATAGATGTCATATATTTATTTATGTGTATATACTTGTTTTGTTTACCTTGTTGCAGTAAATTCTTGGTCTGAACTGTGGGAGGCAAAGATTTATTACCATCCTTACGGCTGAAAGGATAGCTTCCAAGCATCAGAAATAGCCTTAAATGAAAAAATAAAACTTGGTATTAGACAAGTTAAAATTCAAATCTAAACTTTTAGGAGTTGATTCATAAGATCAGCTTGGTGCTTTGTGACCACCTAGAGGGGTGGGATAGGGAGGGTGGGAGGGAGGGAGACGCAAGAGGTAAGAGATATGGGGATATATGTATATGTATAGCTGATTCACTTTGTTATAAAGCAGAAACTAACATACCATTGTAAAGCAATTATACTCCAATAGAGATGTTAAAAAAAAAAGAGATGAGAATCAAACAGGATAACAACAAAACTTTAACACACACACATTCTCACGGTCTATACTCTTTTTGTATACTATATGGGATACTGGGAAATTAGTCACTGAAAAATTACAAATCAGATTTCTTTTGCAGACTGTGTAGTTTGGTTCTCTGGATGACAGCTGTTCTAAAGCCCCAGTGGAGGCAATGGTCTATCAGCTCTGCAGGGGGCTCCCCACAGGAAAGAGAGGGTCAAAAGTGGATGAGCTCAAAGAAAAAAGAGGACTACTTAGCCGGAAGGTTTAGAATGAAAAGGGTCACAGAAAATAATCATAGTGGTGCTATGCATTATTGTCATTTAACACTTGTTAATGCAATTACGTTTTCTTATTAACACGAAAACAATTAGAAGAATCAAAAATGTCGTTACTGAGAAGTAGAAAATCTTAGAGTTGAAAAGCACCTTAAAAGAACATCTAGGAGCTTCCCTGGTGGTGCAGTGGTTAAGAGTCCACCTGCCAATGCAGGGGACATGGGTTTGAGCCCTGATCCAGGAAGATGCCACATGCCGTGGAGCAACAAAGCCCGTGTGCCACAACTACTGAGCCCAGGTGCTACAACTACTGAAGCCCACGCACCTAGAGCCCATGCTCTGCAACAAGAGAAGCCACCGAGATGAGAAGCCCACACACTGCAAGGAAGAGTAGCCCCCACTCACCGCAACTAGAGAAAGCCCGCACACAGCAATGAAGACCCAACACAGCCAAAAATTAAAAAAAATTAAAATATATATATATATAAAAAGAACATCTAATCCAAATACAGCTGACCCTCAAGACTTCCCTGGTAGCACAGTGGTTAAGAATCTGCCTGCCAATGCAGGGAACATGGGTTCGATCCCTGGTCCGGGAAGATCCCACATGCCGCGGAACAACTAAGCCTGCATGCCTACAGCCTGTGCTCTGCAACAAGAGACGCCACTGCAATAAGAAGCCCACGCACCGCAATGAAGAGTAGACCCTGCTCACCGCAACTAGAGAGAGCCTGCGCACAGCAATGAAGACCCAATGCAGCCAAAAATAAATAAATTAAAACAAACAAACACATCTGACCCTTGAACAACACAGGGTTTAAGGGCACTGACCCTCCACACAGGTGTTGAAAATCTTTACAGTCTGCTCTCTGTATTGTTTCCACATAAGTGAATTCAACCAACCTCAAACTGTGTGGTACTGTCTGTCGTATGTATTTAGTGAAAAAAAATCCACATGTGAGTGGACCTGCATAATTCAAACCGGTGCTGTTCAAGGGTCAACTGTAGTCATTTTGATGACCAATAAGCAGGGTAAGGGAAATGGATGAAGGTGGTTAATAGGTACAAACTTCTAGTTAAGATAAATAAGTTCTGGGGATGTAATGTACAACATGGTGAATACAGTTAACACTGTATTGTATATTTGAAAGCTCCTAAGAGAACAGATCTTAAAAGTTCTCATCACAAGACACACACACACACAAAAAAAGTAACTATGTGAGGTGATAGATGTTAACTAAGCTTATTATGGTAATCATTTCACAATATATACATATATTAAATCATTATGTTGTACACCTTAAACTTATACAATGTTGTATGTCAGTTATAGCTCAATAAAACTGAAAGAAAAAGACTAATGTCCAACAGCCTTCGTCTTTCTCTGTAGAGAAGTAGGGGAGGCACTAGAAACATCCCTCCCAGTGGTAAGCCTCTCCAATGGATTTGAACTCCTTGAATGAGGCCACCCAGCCATTCTATGCTTTTCCATCTAACAGACAAGGCCATGAAAAACTCCCAGTAGCGACAGGGCCACCCTCTGGGGTCTTGGTATTGTAGTGCTCAGTAAGTGCCACTTGCAGAGGCCAGGCATGTTGGGCATCCTGCAACATTTTAGTGAGTAGCTTCTGCACAGTGAAGATCTGCCATGAGACCTGTGAATGTTTATTATCTCAGCCTAGCCCCTATGTCAGTTTCACATATAAACACAGAATATTTTTTAACATGATTTTAATACATGCTGAATTTTCTAGGAAGGGAACTTCCATGTCAACCACAAGATCATACTTTACTTCAGGTCTTTACCAAGAAGTGTTCACTTCTGAAAACCACATCACTGTGGTATTCAGAAATGCTAATATATCTGACAGTCCACATTTGTAGAATGTCAGAAGTCTGCATTCATGTTGATTCTACATGTTGGTAAAAGCTTTTGATTACTTTTTTTTTTGGCTGTGCCACGCAGCTCAAGGGATCTCAGTTCCCCAACCAGGGATCGAACCTGGGTCCCCTGCAGTGGAAGTGAGGAGTCTTAACCATTGGACCACCAGGGAAGTCCCTCAGTTATCCTATTGAGCTCATTGATTTTAACAAATTTTCAGGGACTTGAGGGGGCAGAAGGTTCTACAATCTCAATAATAATGAGAGCCTCTTTCTTAAAATGGTAACTCTTATTTCTGTCTCCCATCTTACTATATTAGCTAGAACTGCCAGAATTATATAAAATAATATTAGAGTTGCCATGCTTGTTTTGTTCCCATTAGAAAACACATCTAGTGCTTCATCTTTGAACATAATGCTGATTGTTAGACTGAAATATTCTTTCTATGTTAATAAAGCACTCTGATTTTCATAGGTTTTTGAAAATCAGGGATATGCTTTGAATTCTGATTGTCTCTATATACTGAGTTTTATTATTTTTCTTATTTGACAGATTAATGAGATATAACACATTTTCCAATTTTTTTAAATAAATAAATAAATTTATTTATTTATTTTTGGCTGTGTTGGGTATTTGTTGCTGCGTGCAGGCTTTCTCTAGTTACGGCGAGCAGGGGCTACTCTTCGTTGCAGTGCGCGGGCTTCTCATTGCAGTGGCTTCTCTTGTTTTGGAGCTCGGGCTCTAGGCGTGTGGGCTTCAGTAGCTGTGGCATGGCGGCTCTAGAGTGCAGGCTCATTAGTTGTGGCGCATGGGCTTAGTTGCTCCGCGCCATGTGGGATCTTCCCGGACCAGGGATGGAACCTGTGTCCCCTGCATTGGCAGGCAGATTCTTAACCACTGTGCCACCAGGGAAATCCCAAAATTTCCAATTTTAAGCCATCTTTTTATTCCTAAGATAGGTTCTAGTTGGTTCTGGAAGATTGTTCTTTAAATGTTTTTCAAACTCTACTGAATTTGATTGGTCGTATTTAATTTGAGATGAGATAACACTGCACGTTCATGTAACATTTACAAGCCCTATGCTAGGAACTGGAGTGGAGATAAAAATGAAATCGTCAGGTGGTGAAACTATTCTGTATGACACTGTAATACATGGCATTATACATTTGTGAAAATCCACAGAACTGTACAACACAAAAAATAAACCTTAATGTAAACTATAGATGTCAGATAAAAATAATATATCAATATTGGCTTACCAATTATAATAGATATACCACATTAATGCAAGATGTTAATAATAGGGAAACTGTATGCAAGGGAGAGGACGTATATGGGTACTCTCTGTATTATTTGATCAATTTTTCTGTAAGCCTAAAACTACTCTTAAATAGTCTAATAACAATAATAATAAAATAATAATAATAAAGAATGATTGGGGAAAAAGTGACTGAAAACAAATTAGGACTGGAGAGCAAACTGAAACAAGTGACTGTGCCATTACAGGATTAGAGTAGCAGACCCTTTAAAGAAAATCTTACAAACCATGGTATCTGTTTCTTTAGGAAATAGTGATGCCCAAACATTGTAGGATTTTATACGACTCCGGTTGCCACTGGGGTCTGTGTATGATCTTTTCCTCTCTCTTGTTCCAACACTCCTGATCTTTTAAGGCAAGTATTTCCTGCCTTAATGCTTAACACAGAAAAAAAAGAATGGCTCACCATATGAAAATGCAAACAGTCTCATCCAGGAAGACGGCCTCCTCAGCTCTGCCTAGGAAAGAGCCAAGCTACCTGAATTCACTGCAAACACTCTCCAGTGAATACTTACAAATTATAGACTCCTTATCCAAATTTGGCATCTAAGTACAAGAGAGACAGTGTCTGAGTATAAGCTGGGGACCACAGACCATGGCTAAAGTGCCCTGCAGTTCAGAGAAGCAGCTTGGAGCCAGACAATATGGCATTATAAGATAGTAAGATAATAAATATTTATAAGCAGATGTCAATTTTCATTACAAAGATTTTTTTATTACAAAATATTTTAGATAAAAAGGTAAAGAATGTAACATAGTAGACACTCTTCTACCCACCACCTAGATTTAGCAAATGCTAACATTTTGCCACGTTCATGTCTCATTAATGTACCTTAATAATTTACCGTGTATTATCTTGCAACATGCTTTTCTATTAAGCATTATTATTTTAAGTTTTTTCATGTTGAAATGTGTATATCTAGTTTGTTCATTTTAACTTCTTCATAGTATTCCACCGTATGACTAAAACACAGTTTATTTCTCCATTGACCTATTACTTATATTTTTAATTTTTTTACTATGAAAAAAAGCTGCAGTAAATATTCTCTATAAGTCTTTTTGTGGGGAAAAAGAGTTAAATAACACGGTCCTGTCCTCAAGTCTTGAAGCATTACAAACTTCCTCCCAACAGTGATTATGGAATACAAAGGTTTGTAACAGAGCTTTGCACAGATGACATTAAGAGTAGGGAAGGATGGTCTAATCAATGTTTTTCAATCTGTTGTTTTAAAATCAAGTTATAGGTTG